TATTCAATAGATAGACGTGATAAATTGCTGACCCTCCCCCCTCCCCTAAAAAATTACGTAATAAACGGCACTCCCCTTACTTGATTAGTATAATGTCAAATTTTACAATTGAATAGTACCCCGATACTATTTAAAGGCAGTACTTAAGATCATAATTCATTCCAAACTTAAGTCGATAACTTAAATCCTTACTGTAACACTAATTAATATTTTTGTTTGACGATTTTTCGTTGATTGTCATTATCGTGACTAAATATATCTCTTTGTAACAGTAACTTATATGAGTTGCTGATTTATAATCGAGTTCGCAATCCTGATTACAATAAATTCAAAAGCGTTATACAAAAGCCAACAGCAGAGACAGTGCCCGATCCAAAGTGAATCTCTCGCCTGTGATCAATCACAAATTAAATTATTTATGTTGGATTCAATTGTGATGGATATAATCCCTCACCAGTTTTAATATATGTGTAACATTAACGGTCTCTGCTGTAACAAAAGCCCTGCAGCATGTGAAAGTTCTGCATTCATCATACATGCACAATCATGTATCGGCACGTATATAAATACCTGTACACTTTGCGATATTTATACATCGCTTCGTTTCCTGGTCGAATCGATTAATCGACTGGCCAACCAATCAACTAATCAACTAATTAGTCAATTAGTCAATTAGATGAATACGTAGAACATTATTATTATTACGTAGTGTTAGTTGTCAAAATCGATTAATATCATGTTTGTTATAAATAATGGCGATTTAGAACTCAATTATTCTCACTATTCTCACGTGTTTATCTTGATCATGTGATAATGTTTGTTTATGACAATTTAAATGACGATCTCTGCACAATACAGACGCCTTATCGCAGATTCTCAAGATTTCTTCACTTCAGTAAATATGTCGAATATTGAAGTTCCTAGAATGCCTGATGTTAGATGTGATTGCAACAGAGTTATTGCTAAAAAGATTTCAAACACCAAATTGAACCCAGGTCGAGTTTATTACAAATGTGATCGTTGTGACTTTTGGAAATGGGAAGATGAATTAACAAAAATCAATAGAAATCTCCGAGATATTACACTAATTTCAAACAGCAGAGAAATGCTCGTTCCAATAACGACTCCAAAGTCTCCACCAAACCTAAACAATGGACTAACAAATGGACTAATGAATGGTCTAATAAATGGACCAACAAATGGACCAGCAAATGGACCAACCAATGGACTAACCAATGGATTAGTCAATGAACAAATAAATAATAGACATTTTTCTACGAATTTGAGTAACTCATCCGGAGAGAGCGAGGTCCTCGTTGAAGCTAGTTCATTTGGACAAAGTGCGGCAGTTCTTACACCAGCAAATAAACAAGAACAGTTAATTAAAGCAAAAATGGCAGAAAATAATTTTTTAAGAACTGAAATTGAAAAAACGAAGTATGAATATGAAAACATGAAGATTGAATGTGAAAAAATGAAGATTGAATATGAAAAAATGAAGATTGAAAATGAAAAAATGAAGATTGAAGATGAGAAAATTAAGAATGAAAATGAAAAAATTAAGAATGAAAATGAACAAATTAAACAAATAAATGGTTTATTAGAAAAAGATAAAGTAGAACTTACTGAAGGAATTACTTATTTAGAAATAGAGCTAGAAAAGAAGAATAACATTGTTGACACTCGAGAGATCGACCATTTAAGATTACAAAACAAAGAATTGGAAAATAAAATTTCCGATTTAAACGGTAAAAATGCTCAACTAATACGTACAATCGATGATTTAACTACAAAACTAGTTTCAGAAACAGGAAAGTTAAATTTAAAGATAGGCTCTTTAGAAAGAGAAATTTGGGATTTAAGACAAAGAACCAAATTGAAAGATGAGGGCAACAGCAATCCTTCTTTAGGATCTGAAGACATACATTTTTATAAAAAGGTTATCGAAGACAATTCAGATCTAAAGGAACAATTAAGAACAACTAAACAAGAGAATTCCGATCTCAAGGAACAAATAAGAACAATTAAACAAGAAAATTCCGAACTTAAAAGTCCTCATCAGGTGGATGATTTATATCTTATGATCGATAGACTAACAAAACGTACAAACGAATTAAATGATGAAAACCAGACTTTGGTAAAAGAGAATCAGGAATTGAGAGATAAAAATAAAATTTTGAAAAATTCCAAACGTTTAAAAAATAACGATTTGTAGAGGTGGGGTCGGCTTAAGCAAGCCCGGCTTGGCTCAAGCCAACTCAGGTAAGTTGGCTCAAGTAAGTTGGCTTAAGTTGGCACAAGCCGAATATAAATAAAAGTTATTTTTGTATTAATAATGATTGTTTGAATTGTTTGATAGATCATTATAACAATAATATCAATGTTATCAAAATTTTATTTGAATTCTTGTCTGACATGATTAATAAATCTTGACAAGAAATATAAAAGCGGCTCCAAATATAAAATAAATTTTTATAATAACATATTACATGAATAGGTACTAATGTTAAAAAGTCAACCATATTTTATATCGTTCGTGTTCAATAAAAAGTTTTTTTAGAAGTTTTTCAATTCAATAAAAAAGTTTTTCAATTCAATAAAAAGTTTTTCTAGAAGTTTTTCAATTCAATAAAAAGTTTTTCTAGAAGTTTTTCAATTCATTAAAAACCATTTTTTTAAACTGATAAACCTAAATCTTTTTCATTATTTGCTAGCAAAGAAGATATATTATCTATAGTCCGGAGCGAAGCGGAGGACTCGCTTTGATGACTGAATTTACGATTTTGATGCATCTATAATAAAAATATCAAAAACGTAGTTTCGGCATTTTCTGTCTGTGGCGCCCCTGAAAATTTTGTTCTGCAATATACATGACCAGATTTTTCAGGGGTTTGGAGAATGCTCATATTAAAATTATGGATTCCGGACTTATACCGATTTCCGATTATCTGTTTTTAAATTACGTATCAGACAACTCCATTTATAACAGGAGGAAATGGTAAATGTTACAAATAATGAGTTTCAAAAGAATAAAAAAATACAAAATCGAATCAAAAAAATTGATGCTATAACGAATTTAATTACAGTACATATTTTGCTACAAAGTGAGCAAGTATATATTTTGTTTATTTGTTAAATAAAGATCTAACTTCGAATAGTTATCATATAGAGAAACAATAATCTACATGTGTATGTCTAATTCTATATCAGATATGAAATATAATCAAGAATCCAGATTAGAGATGTTAAGTGGTGCGTCTGGTCCGGTCCTGGTCCAGTCTCTAAAAAGTCTGGTCCTGGAATAGTTAAAAACTAGTCAGTATAATTTTGAAACTCTATATGGAGTAAAAAAAAAAAAAAATAAAGCATTTACTAATTTGGTTTAAACCTACCAATTGATGCACTTAATAATCCTGGTGAATTTTAAAGCGAAAACGCCAAATTTCATTATGGCTATTTAAAGGGTGTTGTTCATGATTCGTACCATATTAAATCTATTCGATGTGCCAAAAATGATACTCTATTCATATCATGTGATATCATAAATAGTTTTTGGAACAGTTCTGAATGGTTTCTAAAAAGTCCAGTCCGGACCTGGTCCAAACCCGTTCCCCGTGGACCACTTAACATCCCTAACCAGAGGCATATTACGCATTTTTTAATATTCGATACTATAGTTTCTTTTTTTTTTTTTTTTTTTTTTTTTTTTTAACGTCTACCCTCTTGGGAGCTGGGATTTTTATTCAAGTATATATAGCA